AGAGAGAGAGAGAGAGAGAGAGAGAGAGAGAGAGAGAGAGAGAGAGAGACTGGGCCTGGGCCTGGGCCTGGGCCTGGGCCTGGGCCTGGTGACTTTTGAAACCTCAAGCCTACACTTCCTCCAACAGAGCCACACCGCCTAAGCCTTCTAATCCTTTCAAACATTTCTGCTCCCTGGTGACTAAGTATTCAAATATATGAACCATTGGAGACCATTCTTATTCATCCAACACAGTAACTTTTGATCATCTTCAGTTTGATAGTAATTTTATAAATTTATTGATTTTGAAACTGGTCTAAATCTGGGCTATCATCCTTAATTCCTTAGATTTTTTTAATTTTTAAATCCATCATCCGTAGATTCTTCCATTTTGAAATAAATCCAGTTAATAATAATTATTTAGCCATTATTTTTCCTATGAGCTGACTCTGCCAATAATAATTCTTTGAATTGGACTTTTGAGAACTCTTCTTTTGAGATAGTTGGAATACAACATTGACACAATGCTTATTATCAACTTGAAAATTACTTTAGTAAATGTGTGAGTGAGTTGAAGGAACAATGTTTTGAATCAGTGTCACACCACGTCCTGTGGAGTCTGCGTGATCGCTCACGTAAGACGTGGCACAAGCTTCAAGGAAGTGTGCCTGCAGAGAAGGTGTGTGTGTGCTGTGCTTCCTGCATTGGAGCCCTTGCTTTTGGCATTACCTGCTCATGTTCTAAGGAATACAGTCTGCTTTCTTCTGGAAGGGATGATAGGATGTTTAAGTTTCTAGAGTCTACTGATGAGCCATTGCCATATATAGGAGTATATGATGCTAATGGAGGAAGATGGGTTAACATTCAAGGGGAAAAGGTTTCCAAGTCTAATCTGGTGCTTATCAAATAAAGAACAAAAGGCAAACTTCATTAAGCAATTAAAACATATTCAGCAAAAATGGGATAAGGATAGAAGAGAGAGATTGATGTGGGATCCCCTCTGCATGCTGTGAATACCATTGGTTAATAAAGGACTGCTTTGAGCCTATAGCAGAACAGGGCAGAAAGAGCTGGACAGGGAGGACTAGGCTGAATGCTGGGAGAAAAGAGGTGGAGTCAGAGAGAAGCCATGGAGCCACTGCCGAAGATAGACATACTGAAATTTTGCTGATAGGCCACGACCTCATGATGATGCACAGATTACTGAAAATGGATTAAATTAAAATGTAAGAGCTAGCTGATAAGAAGTTAGAGCTAATAGGCCAAGCAGTTTTTAAATAATGTAGTTTCTGTGTGTTTATTTCGGGGCTGAGTGGCTGGGAACCAATAGGCGGCCTCCTTACTATAAGAGATAAATGCCTATAACTTCTTGAGATTGGTTTTGGGAAAGCTTTAAAAAGGAGTTAGAAATATGAAGAAGAAAAAGGAAAAAATTAGTTCTTCTGCATAAATTACAGAAATATAAAAGGACTGTAGACTGTGTGGCTATTAACCACAACCACTTGCCCTTAGCTCAAAATGCCATAAACTCATAGCCTAGATAAAGATTTATATTGAAACTAATGCCAAGCCATGTCTAGCATGACCAACCGCAGACTCACACCGGGGACATCTGTCTGATGAAAATCTATTTTCATGTATTTTGTATAATGATTCTAAGAATAATCTGCATCACAAGAAAAAAACAAAACATGCTGTTAAACAATCTTTTCTGTATAAAGGATGAGTCTCATGCCCAGTAAAGATGCACTCAGATGCAATTCCTTTGAGTCTTCTGTCTGTTTGTCATTTGCCGATTTCTTACCCACCTATTCCTGTCCCACCAGTCCCCAGCTGAGCTGGTCCGTAGTTCAGTTCCCAGCACCCATTTCAGGCTGCTCACAAGTAACTCCAGCTCATTGGGATCTGACTTCTTCTAGCCACTGTGGAACTGCACTCATCTGCACATGGCCAAAGTATATTATGTGCATCTATGAATATGTCATGATGACTCAATATGAAGAACATACTTTGGAAAATAGCTTTTATTTTTTTAACATGTAGAAGATGTTTCCCTTTAATTATCTCCCAAGCAATATAGTAAACACCAAGTAGATACCACCTACCTTGTATTATGATTGTAAGTGATCTAGAGCATTTAGGAGGGTGTGTAAAAGTCATATACAAAGCCTATGCCACTTAATATAAAACAATTGGGCATCTGAGGGGCTTCTATTTTGGGGGGTCCTGGAATCAATTCCCCTTGGATACCAAGAAACAACAGTACACATTTCAGATGTTTCACTAACTCAAACTTTCCTTTTTCCTCAAAAGTGTCTAACTTGTCAAGTAGAAGGTTGCTGGTCCAGACTTCTGATCTCCACAAACCATCCAAAAGGGACCCCCAACTTACTTTTCCTATGACATCTGTCAACAGCTTGAGAGAGCGAGGATCGTGAACCAGGGAGTCTGTGTAGAAGGAGCCAAGGTATTTCCTGGGGTCAGATGAATTGTCCTGGGCACAGAGATCTGGGCGCACGTTGAATCCATGGGCGATTCTTCCCACTGTGAAGGGGAAAGCACCACCTGCAAGGAGGCAGAGGCAGGGGATGGGATCGCAAGTCCAAAGACTAATTGCTTGGGCTACAGAGTGAGTTTAAGGCCAACCTGGGAAACTTTAGTGAGAGATTGTCTCAAAATAAGTGTAAGTAGCTAGAGAAACATCTCAGGAGGTTCTTGTTGCTCTTACAGAAGACCTACAGTACCCAGCACTCATGAAGGGTGGCTCACAACCACCTGGAACTAGTGCCAGTGGCTCCGACACCCTCTTCTGGTCTCAGAAGGCACCTGCACACACATGGCATACACCACATGCATACACACACACACACACACACACACAGAGACATATCAACAACAGTAACAACATGACAACAATAAAGCTTGGATGTAGCTTGACATGGAGCACCTACCCAGCATGTGTGAGACTCTAGAGTCAATGCTCAGAACCTCTACAAATAAATAAGTAATAAAAAACAAATAAATAAATGAAAAATGGATGGGGAAACAACTCACTTGGTAAAGTGAACCACCACGCCGTGACAGTGTGAGGACCTGACTTTGAATGCCAAACGTATATATAAAAAAAAGTCAGACACCCACCTATAATCCTAATTCTGGGGAGATGGAGATAGAAGGATCCATGGGCTTTCTAGCCAATCAGTTTAGCCAGATTGGTGAGCTCCAGGTTTAGTGAGAGACCCTGTCTTAAAAAAAAATGAATAAAAAAGGTGGGTGGCACCAGAGGATCAATACCCAAAATTGGCCTCCTTGTCCTTGTCCTCCACATGCATCCACATACACATGCATCCACATGCACATGCATCCACAAATAAGCATGCTCAATATACACACAAAAGAAGAGACCAGAACCATCTCTCTCCTTCAAGTACTGTCCTTTGTCCTCTCCTCACCCATGGATGCACAGAGGAAGGGGCACATGAGAATACAGGGAGAAGGAGGCCATCTGTGTGCTAGGAGAAAAGCCCTCATCAGAAACCAACCCTGTCAGCACTATAGTCTCAGATGTTTAGCCTCCAGAACCGTGAGAAAATGTTGCTCTAAGTCACCCTGTCGGTGGCATTTTCTTAGACAAGTCTGAGCTGATACAAATAGGGTCTCACCTCCATGTGCAAAACACACTTTGAGTTTGGGAAACTTCTCAAACACCCCACCCATGATCATGGAGCAAATGGCCATGGTGGTCTCCGATGGCATTCCTAGAAGAGGAGACGGGTTACGTGATTCAGGGCTCGTTAACTTAAGCAAGAATCTTAGTGACAGTGACTGCGGAGCAACAGCTAACTTGGGGGATTGTCAGTGAGGTGAAACATGGGGCCCCTATGCTCCAGAAGTGACCCAAATGTTTATAGGGTGCTACTTAGTCAAGAAGAATCATTGAAGGCCCCTATTTGCTATTTCAAGGAGAGTAGTCTAAGAGATGGAACTGACAAGGGGCCTGGCTTTGGTCCTGATGGGGCAGGCAAACGTTGGAGGTAGTTTAGCTTGGGATTCCTGTTTGGTTTGGGGTTATGCACACCTCCCCTTGTAATAACGCCCTTGGCAGCCCAATCCCTTCGCTTGCACATTCTGTGTGAACACATGTACACACCTCTTCAAATGGTAAACAGGGCAACCTCAGAACTCCTAGGCCCCCAACTTGCACCAGATTACACGCACTCTCCTCTCTGAGTGATGTTGTTAGGTTCCCCAGCTGTGGTAACCATCAACTTTCGTTCATTTCTGTTCAAGTGTATTCCCAATATATCCAGCTAGGAAGACGAAAAGGACCTATCTGGCCTGAACGGGTTTGGGGTACATATACAGTAAGGCAAAACTATTTCTTCCAGTAGCCTATTAGGGAGAGTCCTCTATTATCACCTTATGCTTATGCATAACTGGGCAGGTATATAATTAAAATGAAATGCATTATGGGGAAGAGACACTCATAGTAAGTGTTAGGTCCCAAACCCCAAAAGGCAGCCACTGACTATGTTTCAAGATGAGTCTGGGCTCAGCTCTGGCTGGACACAGGATTACCTGCAGATAGATACAAGTTCACAAGCAGCACTGCTCAGAAACCGAGTTCCTCTTTGCCAAGAAGAACCACTTCCCTTCTCTCTTTCTACCTCAGGAAACAGGCATTTAGCACATACCAAAGCCTACACTAACCTTCAGACTCCTTCAGTCCTTACTAATGTGTAGCTATGGCAAGTTTCAAAACCATTGGGCTCTTCTGGATCTAAACCCTCAGTTTGCAAGTTCTTCCTCCCCAACCCTGCAGCCACCTGCTCCCTTTAAAACCCACCACTCCCCCACTCCACCCCAGACCTTTCTCTCTGCTCCTCTCTGCCTCCTGAGAGGTAGCCATGGCAGCTCTGGATTCCCCAAATGCCTCTGGCTATTCTCTCTACCACACTAGAGAGTTCCATGGCAGCTTTATATTTACACTAAACCTTTTCTTTCCATGCACTCAGGATCAATCCAGTTCAGTGGTTTCACTGCACCTTCACTTACCCTAAAAAACCAAAAACAAAACACGTGACCCAATCTAACAAACAAAACAGAGACCCAGATTGTCAGTCTTGACAATGTATCTTCTACCATCTGAACTATCTGTTCACCCCGAATAAAGTTATCCTGAAAATCTATGTGAGTCTTTATTTTCAGCTTTTTTGGGTAAGGGACGAGAAGCTGGAAAGCCCTGGCCTGGCCCTGACTACCAGTAACACTGATTGTCCTTCAGGTTTCTTCTCAGGGCTGAGGAGCAAACCCACATCCTTGAGCTTGCTAGACAAGTGCTCTACCACTGAGCTGAGTTCCCAGACCCTCTCCTTTCAGTGTTAGATGCATGATGTTAGTCTTCTGGGCAGAATGATAGCTTTTGTAGTGTTCTGCCTCTTGGCCTGGGAACAGTTATTTGATGTTCTAGCCTGTGTTTCTTCATGAAGGATGTTCTTCTTGTTTTGTAGGGTTTTTGTGGAGTTTTGTAAATAACAATTTCAATTAAGTTCCTGGTTATGACTTCACTTTGGAGGTGTTTAGCAAACATTGGTCAGTTCTCTTGTCTGTTTCCTCATTCTGCCAGTTAGACAAAAGCCAGCTTTCCTCAG